TGGTTATTCATCCGTCGGTATGGAAAGGCTCTCGCAGCGGTTGTTTGTCTCCTACCCTCACAACTCGTTCCTGGCGTTGTGTGCTGGCGAGCATGTGTAAATTATGATAGTAACCATTTTCTCGGTTACTCACGTTTCTCACAGCGTAAAGATGGATGATGACAGGTTGATTTCGATATTCCTTGTCCGAATCAAGTTCACTGTTTAGAATATCAGCCGGGCTATCGAAACGATATCAATGCGTCTGATCTGATCGAACGGCGGAACCCTTTTCTCCTGATTGGCAGAACATGACAGTCGTCGCTTTTAATACGCGCCGATGATGCTTGAGCGACAAGTTTTTTTCTCGACTCGGACGTGTCGACTTTGCGTGTGAGAGAGTTAGCGAAGATCGCTCGTTAATCCTTTAATTCATCCGTGGAGATTATGTTCTTCGCCGGCACCAGTAATGACCACTGAGTACGCATAGTGGTCTCAGAGCTTAATCCCGAATTCGAAGTGTTGCGGCTCTACAGGCTTGGCTTTCTTTACTTGACTTGTGACTTGTTGACGTGGCGCGTCGAAGCACTGTTTCAGGTGCATGTGCTTTATGATCGATCTGGTCCTGTCCGGTCGGATACGCGCTATTTTCCGTCCGCCTCCGTTTCCTGCGTCGCTCTCACTGACAGTTGTTTCAGGAAACGGTCTCACACAAGCGACGACATGACGACAGTGAAGTCGACGGTGCGCACGCAGAGGCAGGAGCGCCCCCGTTGGCCAACATCTTAACGCACGTTGCGTCCGTCAGTCCAAATGCAGGAGGTCGTCCATTGCGCGGTGAGTCTCTGTTCGCTTTGCAAGTGCGCTTTTTTTGTCGTATTTTTGTCCTGCCGCAGTTTGACCCACTTCGACTGCTGCATTCCTTTACTGTCTGTACCGCCGCATTACTGACTTTTTGCACAGACCTGCTGAGGGTCACATCAGGGTATCTGCGCATGCAGTGTTTGTAACGTATAAGAACGCCGTGTGAAAATTGAAGCTAATCAGATGTACGTTTTATCTAATAGTTATCCTCTCACATTAGCGATTAAACAGATGACGTACTCCAGCTGCGACGGAACGTGTTTCGGGGCAACAGAATATTTGGAAACATCTTATGAACTCAAATCTGCTTGTTATGCAGAGTATGGCCTTTTTTCATCCCCTTGCATTGCCTGATCATAAAAT